GATAGATAGATAGATAGATAGATAGATAGATAGATAGATAGATAGATAGATAGATAACAACAACAAAAAAAGCAAGGCTTGTTTTTCAACCTCCAGATCAAACTAAAGCAGATCTGAAGCTCTCAGAAGTAGTGACCTTTGAGTTTTCAAAAAAGAGCTAGAGCACAGGATTTGGCCATGGCATATGTCTATAGGATCCTATTCTCTGATCAGTTAAAGGAGGGGCTATTGCTTCCCTAATATACATTAAAAGCCTCATATCCTGCTTTTCAGTAATAGAGGCAGATATGACCAGATTAGCGTGCCTGCTTCAAATCTGAACCAACTACAAGAACAGTACACCTGACACTGCTTCTATCCCTGTGAATGTTCCTACACTAGCCACTATTCCAAAAGGCTGTGATGTCATGCAGAGCTTGGGTAGAGGCAGGGAAGTGGTGATAGGTAGTTTTCCATTAGTTTTCTCAAGAAGACATTAAACAAAATGATAATTTTGTGCAGCATAAAATCTTTTATATTCTCATATAGGAAAAACAACTTATGCTATGGTAAAATCTTAGCTGTGTACAGAATAATAATAAGTTTATATAACAAGTCAATGGAGCACATAGATACTCCATTGGAACTCATAGAAATATGTTAGTTACAAATTATGACAAGTCTCTTCCATACGTAAAAGGGTGTGCAGCTAAGGGAAACTCTCAGAAATTTTTACTCCCAATCTCTATCTTTATATATCAACATGGCAAATGTTAACATATGACAGTGTTTCAAGAAAATTTTTTATGAATTTCTGAGAAAAAAATTTATTAATGGATGTATTCCTATGAAGATAAATATTTATCATATCCTTTAAATATGACCTACAATATTTTTAGTCAGATGTCACTAGAAAAATTGGCATTTTTCAACTCATGCCATAAAACTCATTTACACCTGACATTGAGTACTCAATGTAAGAGCAATACAGATATAGAACTATCACATACATGCTATTTCTAACCTGAATTAGAGCTGCAGATTAAAATACAGATATAATTCCAGAAGGAACATACTTTTTAGTATTTAAAATCTATATTTTACATTACTTTTTCTGACTGGCATGTATTATATCTTCTCAGGCAGCATATTATCTCTCATCATATACAGAAGATCAAAACAAAATCTCATTCAATGTAATTATTTCAAATATCCGACTGTGTTCTAATTTCTTCTTAACTGTGGTCTACCTTATAAAACATATATTTGGCTTTAATTTTGGATGTTCATTTTATAAAAGTTGTATGTTAAATTTCTGTCTATGAATATTATCAACTTAGATTTTAGAAAATAATAGAAGTTGTCGGGCCGTAAAAACTAACGCCACCTTCAGTGACATAACAAGCGGCGCCATTATGGGCCCACAAGGACACGTAAACGTGGCAGCCTAAGACGGCGCCAGGAGGAAGTAGGGTGGGAGTGTCTGCAGGAACCTTGCCTTAGCCTTTATTGGCCAAATACGCGCTTCCGCACTCATGAACACTGTGTGGTTTCAATAGCTAGGCATTGAGACAGGATGCATGCCCTTGAACCTTTAAGCTGATAGGATTACGTAAAAAACCTTCCTTCCCCATTTGCCTTTAAAAGCAAGTGCTTATGTGACAATAAATGGAACTGCTCAACAGAAGCCCCACTGCGTCTGACTGTCCTTTAACCAGGCTGGTTGGGGCTGGCGCTGTGCTCACCTCTCTTCATGACTCTCTTCCCCCATCTCCTTCCAAAGGGGACAGGAGGGAAAGAGGAATCCGGGCCATTCGCTCGCCCACCAGAAGGAATGAGGCTAGGGCTGTTTGGGTCGGCCGGTGGTGGACCCGACAGAGTGGTGCCCCATGTGAGGCATTTTTTAAAACTCGTGGGTGAAAGGCAAGCAAGCCTAAGAGAGACAAATTTATATAACTTCACTCCTGTCTAACATTAGAGAGAGTATCGCTATGTGTCTTCTATTGGATTTGCTCAGAGCCAGTGAAAGCACCAC